GTACCCCCCGGTCAGAAACACAGGAAATACATTAGAGCATAACAAGGTAGAGACTGTGAAGACAGAGAGGGTGAGACATGGGGGGTGGTTGGAAAAGGCAGGAAAGCAGAGGAGACACTGGGGAATAAAATGGTAGAAAGAGCAGAAATAACAGGAATGGGAGGATCCAGCTCTCCTCTTAGAAGCCATTAGGTGCGGTGACATGCTGTGCAGGGCTCTGCCTTTGCGTCCATACAAAGATGCCTTATAGCCATAATCCGTCTCCATATTTAACTTGAGATGGTACACAAACATAGGCAGAGTCAGACCCACATGTGCTTCCATATAGGCACGGAGCGCATGAATCAGCCCCGGAGAATAAAGAGATTGAAGAGCACTTGTACGGCAATGAGAGCACAGTGTGATGAAGCAGTTTTCGCATGCGCTTGTTGTAGGCAGGAACACAGTAAGTCATCCTTAATGAGTCTACAGTTGCGGGGACACAAGGTTCATCTCCTGTTTGGCATTCTCCCGCCAAGCTCTGGAGTGCAGGCTTGAGGCTGGCTATAATGATGTAAAGGTCAGACGTGGCAGTAGGACTAGGAGGCTGTCAGACGGAGAAGCCGGGACTCTGGGGAGAGCTGGTGTCAAGTGTCGTTCCCTCAAGAATCTTTCCTTTGCCTCTCCTTTTTTTCCTCCTTTCATTTCCTCTCTATTGCCAATCTTTCCACTTGTTCCCTGTCTTTAGTTTTACTTTCCTTCATTATAGCGCCAATCATTTCTCCTCCTTTCACTTCTTTTTATCTTGTTTCCTTTGCCTTCTTTTCCCCCCTTTTCCCTTCTTTAAATTTCCTCCTCAGTCGTCTCTTTGCTTAGCTTACCCCTTTCACATCTTATATTTTCCTCCCTTCCACTTCCCCCTTCCTTCATTAGCCATTTCTTTGCTTTGTCCTACCTTCTCTCTTTCCTTTCATTTTTCATTTCCCCATTCATTCTTTGTTCGTGTCAAATTTCCTTAGCCTTCTCTTCCATCACTCTTCTCTCCTTCCCTATTTATTCTCCTGTAAAACCCGTTCATTGCCTTTCTTTTCATTTTTCTTTTCTATTGTTTACCCATAGTTTCTCTCCTTTAACTTCTTCCTCCCTTTCAGTGTTTTCCTTTCCTTTACTCCCATTTGCCTCTACCCGCTTTCTGCATCCCATCCCTTTCTTTTTCCTCACTTCTCTTCTTTTCCCCTCACACTCCTTTCCTACTTTTGCCACTTCTCTCTTCCACAGCCTCTCTTTTCTCTGTGTATTCCCCTCTCATTTTCCCTTTTTTCTTCTTATTTCTTTACTTCTTTGTTCTCTTTTTGTTCTGGTTACACCCTTTTTTGTCCTTCAGCATGTATGTAGAGTTATACAGTTATCCATCAATTCTTCTTGAGCAAATCATGTACTGAAATGAGCAGTCTGAGCAATGGCTGATCCTCATCAACGTCATGTCTGGATGCTGCGCGCTCTCTTCCTCGTTCTGAGTTACAGGATGCAGCAGTAACTGTAGCACTTTTAATTGAAGAACACCATCAACACTTACCCTCGGAGGTGGCGTCGCCTTGGTAGGAGGTTCATTGGCTGGGTTATTAAAACGTCTGTTGTGAATCTGCTATGTGCCTCTAATGACAGGTCTGTCTGAAGCTTGGCAGACAAGCGCAGCAAGTGGCCTGCCACATTATTGCTATCCCATTAGAATAAATTAGCATGATCATCCCTGCAGGAGCAGCCTGGCCTGGGTTTAAAAATGCCACAGGGCTCCACATCTAATCGCGATAAGAAATAGAGAGATGGGACAGTCGCTCATCAATGTCTCATTATGTGATCCAGCCGTGTAAATGACTGGCAGATGCAGTATTTCTGTAGTCATGTGAAAAGTCGGGCCTTGATCTAATTGTGGTTTATCTAGGCCAACGCTAGCCAGAGCAAATGATTAACTGCTATGACTCATGCTTTGGAACCTTGTACAATTTGTTACTTTGTAGTTAAAAGCCGTAAAAGCACAATAAGTCACGGTCGCATTTCATTTAATGGTTGAATGACTGTGACTTCCGACCCTGTGCTTTTACAAAGAGCCAGCAGCTGCCATTGAATTGGTAATGGATGACAAGAGCGGGCCGAACTGTCAACAGCCAGTCCACCTGTGTGGCCAAGCTTTTATCCCACAATTTCCTCTATTGATTATTGCCGACTGAGCTGATGGATCAGTCCGTTCTTCGCTCAATGCCCTGCTTAAAGCAGCGGCGTCGATGTGTGATCACTATAGAAAGTTCACTGGTGTGGCACCAGTAGAGCGGCACACCTTGAGCCAAATCGTGCCTGCTCAGTGGTGCACTGCGACCCTAAAGTGGCACGGTCCTGCAGCAACTCAACTCTAAAGCTGTCCTCTCCCTGCAGAACAGCCACGGCTGCTGCACTGATTTACATGATTAATCAGACTGTATGCTCAGCCATGAAGTGAAATTCAAATGTACCAAGAACTCTAATAATAGAGCTGCAAGGGCATCAGACTAGAATTGCCATCGTACAGTTGTATGCCTTTGCTTGGTGCAATTTACATCCACGTTTGTCTAGCTTTGATCTTTGCTTTTTTGGCTATAAAATGTTGTAGCTGCATAAATGTTTCTGTGAAAGTTTGTTACAACCAGCTAATGAATGTGTGAGGTCACAGTGACCTTTTACCTTATCCCAAATCATTCACTCCTTCACTACTCCCTACTCCTACAGATGAGAACAGAATTATTAGCCTCAGCTGTGTATCCTTTTTTCTGGATAACAGCCTGAAGTCATTTGATGTAGTCTCACGCTTGCCTCCTGAGCAATCCCAGCACGTTCTACTTTTGAGAATTTCTAAAGCATCTACTGGCATGAACCTTGGTCTTCAATTCACCCCACAGATTTTCATTTGGATTCAAGTCAGGGCTTTGTGCAGGCCAGCCAGTAATGTTCACTTTGGTCTTCTAGAGGTAGCTCCTGTCCAGGAGCGACATATGTTTTGTTGGTTGTTGTCAAGCACACAACATAAGTCGCTCACAGCAACGACCCAATTTTGGTGCTGACTGCTTGGTTTCTGTGACCAAAGAGGTCTAGTTTCGTGTCATCTGTCCAGAGGACGCGTTCCAGTAAGCATAATCTTTCTCCAGGTTGTCCTTTGCGTACTTCACTCTGGCTTGTAGAATCAGAATCAGAATCAGAATACTTTATTAATCCCGAAGGAGGAGGAGGAGGTAGGTGTCTCTTCTGCAGAAAATGAGGTTTTCCTGGTCTCCTACCTCAGAGACCCTTCCTGTGCAGCATTTTATTGTCTACTTTGAGACTATAATTCCCGACTTGGCTAAGTCATTCATTCTTGTGTTGGCAGTTGTTTAGACACATCTCTCATCAGTTTTTGAAATCTTTGGCGTCCTACCTCTGCCAGGCTTGTTCTGCACTATGTGGCTCTCTTGATGATATGTCTCACTCCAGTTCTTGACACTTAGAAGCACTGTGATAACTCTGTATATCCATCTCCTGCTTTGTGAGTATCAACAATTTGTTTTCTCAAATCTAAACTGATTTCTTTAGTTTTTGCCTTGATGTCTTCTAGAGTGACAGCTCGAACCTTTGCTGAAGTTTTTATACTGTATGCTAATTGGAAGATAATGCTCAGTTTTATCTTAATTTTACAGTAAGTTATCTTTGCACATCAGTGGTTTGTGCTATGGCTCAATAAAAAGCTCAGTTTTTCAGGGGGCTAATAATACTGACCACACCATACAGTCCATTATATAAAAAGTGATATTCTGAAGAAATTCTCTGTTGTATTGTATAATAGTTGTTGTCCAGAAGGCTAATTGCTGTTAAAGGTAGGAGTAGCCATCTTATTGCTACTTCCTGTTTTCTTATTCATGTATTTTATGAAAGCCATTTAATCCATTCAGGTAAACAAAGTCGGGGGAGTAAAATAAGTAAATATCATCATTTCAATTATTATTCTGAGCTTATCAATAAACATAAGAATCTGGCAGAGTCCTCAGTGCTCTCTGCTCTGCCAGGTGATTTTAAGTGCCAAGCAAGGAGCTATTTAAAAAGTCAACGCTCACTTTGTCTTTCGGTTTTAATTTCTCCTCTACATCGCCTTCAATTTCCATCAATCCTACTCTTGTTTCCATGCTTTTTTCCCCTCACATATACATGCCCTTAATAGCATCATATCACTAAAATTTACATACCCAAGGATTGTGTCATTTTAATTGCGGTATTTATAAGCTTTACATCACTTTTTTCCCCTGCTCCTTCAAATCTGACTCCACAGCTACGGATAACTTCATCAGCTTGCTACATTAAAGATCGAGTCCAAAAGCAACAATAACAATGTATTTGGATTTGGTATGACTTGCTTTAAAGCACACATTTGAAAAAATCAAATAAAGCCAGAATAAGGAAGTGTGAAAGGGACCGTGAAATAAAAGTAGAACAGGCCTACAGCAAGAAATACCTCGCAGATCACACTTCCACCTTCTAACCTCAACCCAAGCAGCTTGTGAAGTAAATCTCATCAATGAAGTGAACAGAGGATGCACCGCATTCATCAGTTTGGAAATTAGTTTAGCTCACACTCATTTCATTATCTCCAAAAAGTCAGCTCCCTAAAGGGCACTAGTACCAACCCACTGGTTGACACAGAAAGAGAGCCACAGCAGGCAGAGCCACCACCAGCACCAGCACCAGCACCACCACCAGAAATAGAATTCATCACAGGAACAACTCTCATCAGAGCCACATGATTAAAAATTATGTGAAGGAAATGAATCAGGAGTTGTGTAATGGGGAGAGCATCTGAAGAGGTGACAAGGGGAAGCTAAGCTGAGTGAGAAATGCATGTCAGCAGCTCAGACGGTGCATTTTAATGCTGACTCAAGTAATAACTGGACATCAAATTCAGGCGAAATGTTCTCCACTGGCACACAGAGAGACAGGATCACAGCCCCAGCCCCTGTGTCATTTACCTATGGTGTAGCCTCTCTTCAGCTCGCCACACCGGGGGCTGCGGCGCTGGGAGTTGGTGGTGTTGTTTTCCTGCACCGCGAGGACGGTGGTTGTCTTGGCAACAGATGGCGCAGCCTTGTTGAGGGGCGAGGCGGGCACCAGTGTCGGGGAGAAACCTTGACTGGCAATATCCACCGACTGAGACTTCTTCTTCAGTCTGCAGAAGGGCAAACAAGGAGAGGAACGTGTTATTGCTATATTCACATGGTGTATGGATGAAAAGGCAGGGAGTGGACAGAGAAAAGATGAGTGACCTTCATCGTTCCAAGGGCGAGGGGATCAAAGCACATTTAAATCTGAGGCGGTTAGCTGTCACTGCGCTGTGTCACAGAAATGTAATTGTGCAAGGCAATTTTGCAGCGGCAAGGAAATTGGTTGAAAGAATCAATAGGCTAATTGCAATCTTGTTAAGGGTGAATTTATTAGCATTGCTCTGCTTGCCCAGTGTAGAGCTGTCTCTACTGTAAAAAGGGATTAAATGGTGGGATATTGGAGGAGAACAGTGGGAGTCCAGAGCTCAGGAAACAGCGAGTAACAAGCTGCAAAAGAAAAAAAATCAAGTAGAGGGTATAAGAATTTACGGAGGTGGAAATGCTTTTATTTCATCTAGAATATACTAAATCCTTTTTCATCCTTTTTCATATACTAAATCCTTTTGCATCTGTTTAACCAAAGTGGCCCAGAATTCTGCTGCAAAGATTTAACATTAAACAGCTCTAATGTAGCTCCATTTCACTGGCCCATCATCAACTTTAGATTTCAGAATTAATTTTTAGAGAGCTGCTTAGTCTGGTGGCATACATGCCATCTTACATTTAACTAGTTCTTAAAAGCCCTGTAACGAGGGCTTAAAGCTCTAGCACATGTGTCTTGGAAGCCACGGTTCACAAACTCAGATGTGCTTTCACTTTTGACTTGTGGTTGGGATGCCTCATGATTTAGCAGAATTAAACACCAAATCAATTTAGTGAATCTGTTTAACTGGGCAAAACAAATCTGTAAGAAACCACTGCCTGTAATCCCAGTTTACTTATAGCTTTGACTAACTGGGCCTGCTTGGGCACAAATTTTCATCATCACCCTGAAGTTGTTCTTTTGGATAAACCACTTACTGTGTCCATCCTCACTGGCACCTACATGAATAAATGGATGTATGTGACTGGTTATTTTTTATACTCGATACCTCCATATTTACACTGTTGTCTGTCACATCAATTCAATTTCATTTCATTTGCATAGCCCCAAATCACATCAACAGTAACAGTTGTAAGGTAAAGAACCTACAAGAATAAAGAGAAAACTCTTTATTCTTGTAGGTTAGATGACTCCCTATGAGCAAGCACTTGGTGACAGTGGGGAGGAAAAACTCCCTTTTAAAACCAGGCTGTAGGAGCAGCAGCCATCTGCCCATTTGACCTCCTTAGACTGTACCATCTTCTCCATCCACTTGGAGATATATATGTCACGCTGTACCAGAAACTACTAGTCAGACTGACTGGTAGTACTCCATGGATATCTGGAGAGACCAAAATAGAAGGGTTTTTTATTCTCTTTGTTAGCCATGTTGCCCCTCTGCTAATATCTAATCTCCTCTGTTGAAATTAAAACATTTTCTCAATCTCGTTAGCCAAGCCATGAGATGGGAACTTAGGCTATAAACAACATTTTTAATAAATTGTATGAACTTCTAGTGCTCATTGTAAGCAACCAAATTGACAAGTTTGCTAGCAGACTTGCCAAAATTTGCCAAGTAAGCTAGCAGGAAGTTAGCTGGGAGTACTAACTTTGTATTAGTTAAAATTGTTTGTAATTCTAAAAAAGAAAAAAGAAAAAAAGGCCTAAATGGGGAAATGAGCATAATAAAAGAGAATGCAAAAAATAAAGAGTAGCCCTTGGTGTTAACATGACTACACCACCATCTTGGCTAACCTAAAGATGCAACAAGCAGACCTTGTTGTCAAGCTACATAGCTAATCTTAATCATGTAGCGCATTTGCATTTTGTAAAGTAGTTTTTCCTCCATTACCACACTGAATTCAAATGGCTAAACAATTAAACAGAAGCTACAGTGCAACATGTAAAACTCTCTTTTTCAGTAAAAAGCTTACAAAAGTTGAATGCTTATGTAAAGGGCATCAAAAGGCATGCACTGGCTGAGGTAGGTCAAATATAATCTGCCTACAACAACAACAAGTCAAAGCCTATTAAAAGGCTGATGAGATCCCAGGTTTGGGTTTTACATTTATAAATGAGTTAACTGGGCTAATCTGAACAGGTAATCCCACAACACTCAGCAGTAGGTTTATCCACTTACATATGGTCGCAAAGCCACACATGTAAACACACAGAATAAATCACACTAACACACTGACACACTCATACAAATGCATCTAAAGTGGTAGTAAAAAAATACAAATAATAAAAATTAAATTCTTGGGTGTTCCAGCAAAAACTTTGTCAATCAAAAAATGGCTCCTAAAACACTTTCTCCTATACACTGAAAAAGTCCTGAAACAGCAATACAAGATTCCCAGTGCTGCGCTCCCTCGCACACACTTCGCACTTTCAATCATTCCAGCAAAACTGCTGAAGCGAACAGAATCTTTCTGGCCATTTCACCCAAGTGCCCATCGCCACATGGACCAAAGCAACACACATGACCATAGTGTCTAAATCGCTAATGAAAATGCATAATCTCTATGGAAATGTCCTTCACTGTGTGCTCTTTTTAAAATCAAACAAACTGAAGCAGTCAAGAGAAGGTGCCAAACGGAGCAGGTTGAGCTGCAAAAATTATATAGAGATTTTCCTTCAGTCAATTCAGTGAAAACACACAGTTGGTATATTTCTACAAATATACCAACTAAAAATTGACCCCATCTCTGTACCTTTTATATTTGCATGTACATATATTCTTCATCACATTCTGTCTTGTCTTTCCATTAATGCATGCAGTGGAGGTTTTGACAGAGCTGACAAAGGCTGACACAAAGTTAGCTGAATGTGCTAGATTGTACTTGTTTTGAGGACACAGACATGCTGCTGCTGTTAATGGCAGGACCAGAGAGAGAAAAGACACAGACAGACAGACGGAGAAAGAGAGTGAGAGTGTCAAGCTACGTGAAGTCTATCTGCTTTCCCTTAGGAGTTAGTACTAATTACTGTCTCGTCAGTAGAACAGAAGCCCTTCTTCTAGCTCTGTTTCACTAAGCTACAAGGCCAAACGGTATCAAAACGCGTGTATGTCAGAGTTCAAGAACAGAATCGATGTGTCTAAGAAAGCAAGATGGAAACAGAAGCAAAGAGGTAAAGAGAAGGACAACGCATGTGAAAAATAACGTATTCGTGCCTTTGTGTGTGTTTACATTTTCATTCTTTTTATAATATGGAGGCAAAAGTCAACTCAGTGGCAATATTTTTATTAACTTATTCTTCGTTTTCAAGTCTTTTTAAAAGAAAAATTATCAACAGTCAGTTTAAAAGAAGAACGAGACAGTAAAACACACAAAGCACAACAAAGAAACAAATTAACATTTGTAAAGACAAAATATTAATGTGGAAAGGCACACCCATCACCTGTCACCTCCAGCTAGCATGGCAAAACAAATATGCACGTCTCAAAGGGGACCTCTTTTTCATATTTTCTTTACCAGAGGCAGGCAATCAAATGGAAGCTGCCACAGAAAATGAAGGGACCTCAAAGGCTTGTTTTTTGGACATTGAATGAACCAAGGAGATTTATCAAGGCAGAGTACAGCATAAGTAAGAATTATTATTTTGTTCTTTCATTTATTCAACCCTAGTGTAATAATCCACACAATAAAATATGGAACTGGAAACGAGCACAACAGGTCCCCTTTAAAGAGTTTAAAATGTACTTTGCCAGGGCTAATTACATTAACTGTTCCCGTACTGCACATGTTTGACTGTTTTTCAGTCTAAGCAGTTTCAAGTCTGTGTTGTAAAACCAAGTCAAGGCAAATAGCTAAGGAACTAGAGAGTACCCATCAACTGCCCTTTAAATATGTGCTGTCAAGTTAAACCCTTTAATTAGGATGAATACTGAAAAATGTAGGGAAAAAATTATAACATGAACTTCAACTCAGCATTAGCCATTATTAGCTTAGCACTCAAGTCTCTGACTGCACTGTCAAAGACAAAGGTATGTTTTTGGGTAATGCAGGTTTTAAAAAGAAAGAAGGATAAATGGAAGTTGTACAGGCATAATGATGTACTAAAATAATAATAATAATAATAATAATAACCATAAAATTTATAAATAATATCCTATTTAAGGCCTCAGTGCAGCACTGTTTACAACTCTTTATGGCTACGTTCACACTGCAGGTCTTAATGCTCAATTCTGATTTTTTGATCAAATCCAATTTTTTTGTCTGCGTGTTCACACTACAAATAAAATGTGACAGCAAACGCGCTCTAGTGTGAACGCTCAAAGCGGCCCGCATGCGCAAAAGAAGACTTCACACACAACGCGCTCTGTTTAGACCCAGAGCAAACAGTATTGTTTGACAGATGGCCATTAATATAAAGACTTCGGACTTCACGTTTCCCTATTTTTGCTTTAAGTTATTTTGTTATTTACATAATAATGTAAATAACCTAATAATTATCCTTATTGCTGTTTTAGAGAGGAGCGGTGCTTCAAAGGATAGTTGCAGATTCCTGTCAGAATCTGCAGATTATACAGTACAAATAAAATGTTCACGTTTCTCCAACGTTGTCTTCCCAACAGTTTCACTGATCTACATCTACTCATCTACACTGGATGGCCAGGAAGCGATCGCGATGTCTTCTCGGGCGCTTCTCTGGCGCTGATAATTGGCTTCTGTCTTGTGTCGGTGACGTAAAAGATGGATTTAATGCGACATGACCGTTCACACAGCAGTCGCTTTCTGAAACATCGGATATGTATCGGATTCAGTACCACATACGAAAGTGACCCAGATCGGATTTGAAAATATCGGATTTGTGCCGTTCACACTGTCATACCATGATCGGATATGGGTTGCATAGGGTCAAAAAATCGGATTTGATGCGCTTTCGCCTGCAGTGTGAACGTTGCCTATGACCAATTACATGCTAGCAAATGTCAACAACCTCCTAAAACCATTCACCGAGTGGTTGTGGAATACACTT